CATCCAAATGGTAATTTAATATTGTAAAAAAGCAAAATTGTTTTAAATCACTTGCCAGGACACCCCGGCCAGCTTCTTTGTTGGCAAAATGGCCGCGGTATCATGATTTATGCAATGTGAGTGACAAAGAAAGCCAATGCCTGGCAGATGTTGCTTTCTTTGTCGTTGTTCCTGGCACGTTTAAATTTGACTGTTGCCCGTTTTCCCATACAAGTGACACCCCCGTGGTGTCAAGTAAATCGTCAAACAGAACTGTCAAGGATCCCCACCCTAAAGTCCTTTTTCCGCCCACCATGCATGAATACATGGATAGCATTATGCTCCTTCCTTAGTCTTATTCAAAGGGTTTATTTGAAATTGCACCTAGCGAAGAAATGCTTTTTCCAAATATGCTAATGAGCCACCTTCGTTCCATTTGAAAAAATTGAGACATATGATTAAAAATACGATATAGGCATCTTTTAACCGACCAGGACAAGACGATGATAAAGTAAAAAAATACAGAGGGTTCCATTTAAAAATCAATGGTTGTTGTCATTTCCGGTAAAACAGGAAGTGGCCGAAAAGGATTGAATACGTCAATCAATCCTAATTTATGTCTAATACTAGCATACCAAATCTCGTTTTTTGTCTAAAAAAGTTAAAAAGTTATAGGAGTGAGCCACTTTTGAAACGCATATATTTTTATTTTTAAATATGTTTCAAAAAACATTCAAAACAGCTGATATTTAGAAACTAAAAATTTTGTCAACTTGTTTCGTTAAAAAAATCTCGAAAAGAATACATTTTTTGATAATATCTGAAAGATGCATATTTTACAAAAAAAAAAACTAAATCAACTTTCTATTACAAAAATAGAATGAAAGTGAAAATCCATTGTAGTAACTATTGATTAAGCTTCCAAAACTTTTAAAGAAAAACACTGACCGTTTGAAACTCGTACGGATTGCTGCTTTCTGGGTAAACAAAGTGAAAACAAACCCCTACCGAAAACTTTAAGTCGAAGTTTAAACGCATCGATTCAATAGAAATAATTTTTAATAATGTTCAATTTTCTTTTACTTCGATAGAGGTAGTCCTATTTAAACACGCCACTAAAATAAAATCATTCCATTCCGTTAGTCAATAATATTAGTTTGTATTTTCTTATATTTTCCTCTTTACATGTAGAATGGAGAATGTAGATTGTATGGGATGGGGGTTAATTACCGTGACCTTACAGATCTATTGTGTCCCCCTTTTTTGAGTTATAACAACTTTATACATTCTGATACAGTCTCAGGGTTGTGACAAAAGCCAGTATCTGAGACGGTTTGTGCATAGTCTCGGCTCATTTAGTCTCGGCGCACTCAGTGATGAGGCGTACTGACGGACCCAGGTATACAACACAATAATTGCATAATTGAAATATTCCTGAAGTCGAATCTATGGCATCACAACCGCAACATAAAACTAATATAATTATTTTTGTAACACTAAAATAATATAACAGCCAATTAATACTGCGGTAAACCACTAATTTTCCCAGCATAACTTAACAAAGTATGATTTACATATTGTGCCAATCCTAGACTCCTAAAAATTTCATCCATCATAAAAAAATATACATCATAAATAAACATCTTTTTACAGGGTTGTTCACCACATACGACACGGAGTATTGTAGCTAAACGATGAGATTTTTACAAATTGTAAGTTTTGGGTTCGATGAAGGACTATTAGAGCTACAATTTAAAAATAATTTTACAAGATACAGAGTGTCCCAAATAAGTAAAAAATATCAAAGTTGTATTTTTTAAATGGAACACCCTGTATATTATTATATTTTTAGTTTCTTCGATTAAAATAAAGGTAAATTTGATTAAGGTTTATTACACTTAACCTTACCGTTTTTGAAATATTTTTCAATTTTGTGAAATTGCAGTAAAATTTTAAGGCTTCATTTCTCCAAGGGTATCAAAGTTTTTAATACTAAATATTTACTGAAGTTTACTTACTGATCAGTTATTGTGTTGCAATAATAAAAATAATACTACCTTATACAGAGTGTCTAAAAATTTATTTTAAATAATTATTAGCTTCAAACGGCAACTTGTTTAATTTAAATGGAACACCCTGTATATTTATTAAGAATCAGATGCACAATTTAATTGTCTATCAAACTATATTATACCATTTTTTACCTATCTCTTTAAGTTTCCGTAGAAAATGCATTTTCTTGTAATTTAGAACCTATTTATCAATATACCCATGGACTATTGATATTTTAGATTATTTTTAAAGATGTACCAAATTTTTAAAGAGTATAGATACTAATATTGTTGATATAATTCGTTTATTTCATTAAAAAATAAAAAAAAAACTGTTTAAATATTTGTTAAAGAGGATCAATTAATATGATTCCAGTATTCAAACTACATTAACTGACTGTTTGCGTTGATTAATAATATTTGCTCCAAATACTAAAAAACTGAATTTTGTATGGGCATTAGACAGTGTGATAAAAAGTAACACCTGAAAAATGATATTTCATTTTTTAATAAATGCTTATTTATAACAACAGAGACTTTAATTTGATAACTTATTATTATATTGATTTCTGACTCAAATCCACATTTATTTATAATAATTTATTAACGAACACAATTAAGTATGTAATTAATTAGTATATGGGCGGAAATAATGGTGTTATATTTAATTAATGGTATACTCTTTTATAAAGATTTAAATAGTTTTCTTTTTTCATACAAATGGGCTAGTAATATTATCGTTTTGCTAAAAACGATAATATTACTAGTCTGTACATTTTGTACATTTGTTGCTTTAAAAACAATCTAAAATGTCAATATTCCATGGATATATTGATAAACGAGGTCTAAATTATAAGAAAATGCATTTTCTACGAAAACTTGAAGGGATAGGTAAAAAATGGTATAATACAATTTGATAGACAATTTAATTGTGCATCTGATTCTTCTAAAATATACAGGGCCTTCCATTTAAATTAAAGAAGTTATTGCCGTTTGAAGTTAATAATTATTTAAAATAAATTTTTAGACACTCTGTATAAGGTAGTATCATTTTTATTATTGCAACACAATAACTGATCAATAAATAAACTTCATTAAATATTTAGTATTAAAAACATTGATACCCTTGGAGAAATGAAGCTTTAAAATTTTTATTGCAATTTCACAAAATTAAAAATATTTCAAAAACGGTAAGGTTTAAGTATAATAAACCTTAATCAAATTTACCTTTATTTTAATCGTAGAAACTAAAAATGTAATAATATACAGGGTGTTACAAAATACAACTTTGATATTTTTTATTTATTTGGGACACTCTGTATCTTGTAAAAATATTTTTAAATTGTAGCTCTAATAGTCCTTCAACGAACCCCAAACTTACAATTTGTAAAAATCTCGTCGTTTAGCTACAATACTCCGTGTCGTATTTGGTGAACAACCCTGTATATGGAAAACATATTTAAATAAACAATTTGAATAGTTTTTTTTCTTAGAGAGCTTTTCCTTGAATATAATATCAATAATATAATAACAAGTTAAGGGACTATTTCTCTTAATTTGTCCTTACAAAAAATTGAAAATAATCTGAAAGAATTTAATAAAAATATTTTACAGAAACTAACAACTCAATAATTACAGAAGCACGTTTCGGTCAGTAATCTTTCTCACCGAAATATTGTGTGAAGTCGAATCTATGGCATTACAACCGCAACATAAAACTAATATAATTATTTTTGTAACACTAAAATAATATAACAGCCAATTAATACTGTGGAAAGCCACTAATTTTCCCAGCATAACTTAACAAACTATGATTCACATATTGTGCCAATCCTAGACTCCTAAAAATTCCATCCATCATAAAAAATATGGAGAAAATAAACATCTTTATATATGGAAAACATATTTAAATAAACAATTTGGGTAGTTTTTTTCTTAGAGATCTTTTTCTTGAACATTAGATTCTGATCCACTGCGACCTTCTCAGATCTATTGTGGTCCTCTTCTGATCCTTAGATTACATTCTCCAGTCCTATCCTTTTCACAAAGATTAGCAACTTGGAGACTGAACCCTCCATGTAGCTCCTTGGCAATGGCTTATCATTGCCTATTACCGGGAACCGCACATTTGCCAGGCTGTCACACCGACATAAAATGTGTTCTGACGTTTCTTCTTCAGATTGGCAGAACCTACACATAGCTTCGTCTGTCAATCCCATCAGCTTTAGATGCCTATTTAGATTACAATGCCCTGTTAGTAGACCTACTACAGCTTTGACTATCTTTCTGTCCTTGCTTATCCAGTCTACCGTGAATTTTGGCGAATGTTCTACAATGAACCTTTTCGCCTGTCTCTGCCCTGGTGAGTTTCTCCACCATTCTAGAGATTTGTTGGCCACCCATCGTTCCGTGGCCATTCTCGTGACCGCCTTTGCAATGCCGCAGAAGGGTTCTGGGCCTATGAATGGCATTGATGAGCCTTACTTGGCACTTTCATCTGCCTTTTCGTTACCCCTGTGACCCTCGTGCCCTAGCACCCAGGCCAACGTAACAGTGCTACGCCCAAAGTATTCAGAGCACGCACACAGTCCCACACTAGTCTAGAATTGACCTCCGCGGAGCTGAGTGCCTTTAGCGCAGCTTGGCTGTCTGTGAAAATGGCCACAGAACGATTTGTTCTTTGTTGCCTTATTATTTCTTCTACACAATAGTGGATTGCCGTTATTCCTGCCTGGAAAATTGTGACATCCTTGGGTAGGCTTACGTGAAAGGATCTCCCTTGTTTCGGCTCTACTATCCCAGCTCCTACGCCTTCTGACGTTTTTGAGCCGTCTGTATACCAGGTTGCCTCAGCTTGAATGGATACACCTTTACTCCAGTCTTCCCTTCCTGGTATGGTTATATTAAATTTGTTGTTGAAGCTATACCTAGTAGCTATATACCAGTAGCATCAATTGGTAATCCCAATACTTTGTCTGCTTTTAGCTCTTCGATTAGCTTCTGGTTAGCAGCACTATGCGTTTGGCTTATGTGCTGCTGACCGTGAATTAACCCGTGTATGACAGATCTGGCTTCGCCTTGTATGAAAATATATAGTGGTGGTAAGTTCAACAAGACTTCCATCGCATTTGTAGGAGTGGTTTTTATGGCCCCAGTTACACACAGGCACGCAAGCCTTTGTGTGGAACTTAACAGCCTTACCGCACCCACTTGCGATGTCTTTGTCCACCACGCCACCGACCCGTAGGTTATCATGGGTCTTACTACCCTTGTGTCTATACACAAGAGTAGTAAGACCCATGATAACCTACGGGTCTACTCTATGGCTATCCATAGAGTCATTTTAGGGTCAAGTCCCCAGTTTTTTCCACACATCCTTCTGCACCTACCTAAAGAGATGGCAGCCTTCTGTGTTGCCTTCGCTATGTGAGTATTCCATGTAAGCCTTTGATCAAAAATTATCCCAAGATACTTTTCTTGAACATAATAACAATTAATAACAAGTTAAGGGACTATTTCCTTTAATTTGTCCTTACGAAAAATAGAAAATAATCTAAAAGAATTTAATAAGAATTTTACAGAAACTAACAACACAATACAGAAACACAAGTCTGAAAATCTTTCAGGTGAGTCAATTTTTTTGAGTTTCAATAATGAGCCACTGTCAACCACATTCAAAGAATTTTATAGATAACCGATATGATATTTATATAAAAATTTAAACAAAAATATTAATATATTACCAAGTTCTCTTGCAACTTGACAAAAGTGTCGACTTGTCGTCGACTTGTCGTCGAAGTGTCGACTTGTCGTCGACTTGTCGTGGTTGACAATGTCAAACACTCATTATTTTTCCATTGGGCAAGATCATAGACAAACTAACAAAAGCAAGACTTTTCAAAGGATTGAGGAAGTCGAATTATTGTTTTTGCGCTGGCCAGTTGAGTCAGAATTCATCGCGCAGTCGCATTCGTCAAACCTAACCTAAATAAAACGAAAAACGTTTTTGCCTTGAACGAACTGTTGAATTCCTGATTTTGCGTTTTGTTTGGTTATTACTATTATTTTATTAGCGTACAAAACGAAAACAAATAATGTAATACATTTTACATTTATGAAGAACATAATAATTACTATGATTATACATATTATTGTGATTACATCGCTAACGTAGACAAAACGAAGGTTCTACAAATTGACTGTAAGTTATAAGAATCTTTATCTTTTTAATCTTTTTATGATTTGAATTTTCGTGCTTTATATTTTATAATAGACCCGAAATGTTAATATTTTTGTAAATTCTTGTGAAAATGTGAAGTTTATGTTTTTGTTTTATATTTGAAAAAGTTGTATATTTTTAAGATGTTTCTTGTTGTTCCTATTATTAATATTATAATTTTGATTTAATATTATTTTTTTGTACCTTTTGAAGAATAATGCTTTTATTTCGTTTGCCATAACTGTTGTTTTTTTTATCATCTTTTTTGTTATTTTAATAAGAGGAATACGTTTTCGTTTATTTGACTTTTTTGTTTTTATATCTGTTACGTCCAGAAATTATTGTTTATTTTACCGATGGAAATAAATGTATTTGATTTTAATCAACGCTTATTAATTAAACATCCTTTTTACAAAATACACAATCCATAAGTAAACCGTCCTCGTCTAAAAGGCCAGTTGACGCAAGCGCGATAATAAACTCTTATCAAACTTGTTGCCGTTTTGCAGTACAGCGTTGACGCGTCTTGCTTTTGTTAGTTTGTCTATGGGCAAGATGGATCTTTATTAAACATGCTGTAGAAGAGAAAGTGGGTGAACTAACACCAGATAACCTAATCGACATCATGCTGAAAAACGAAATATTTTGGAAGGAAATAAGCAAAATGGCTAAAGAAATCCTCATGGAAAAAAGAAGAGAGAGAGAACGTATGTTCAGATAGGTCCAAACCAGCTACATAGAACATCTACGTAGAGCCCTCCTTCTGAAGTAATGCTAACGCGATTCCAGATGGAAACACATAAAGGTTCTGAGGGTTGTTTTAGTCAGTAAGAGTCTGACACTACTTCGGTTATCTTACCAAGTGCCCATGATTTCCATCGATTTTTTGGTGATTTTTTCCCTAAAAAAATGAACAAAATACTTGACAAAAGTAATTGCGATAAAAACTTCTTTCTCATCAATATATCGCCAATAAAAAATCCTTAAAAAATAAAAAACAAACAATTTTACACCAATCCAATTTCAATTATTTTAATAATAAAAGTAAGTCACATTTTACACTAAAAAAAATATTGTTCATAATATTAATGAACATTGATTATTAACTGTTTTTTAATTGGGATAATGATTTTTTTCATTAATATAATGATTTGTTGATCATAGATCGATGTCCGGTTTATTAATACTATGAATCTAATTTCGTCAATATAATGAAAATCTGGTTATTAAATTAATGTAAGATTTTCATTAATATAATGAACGCGTTCGTTGTTGTGATTACAACACGCTTGTCGTAATTTTTACGTTCCCTAGTCGCCAACCCTGTTATCGTTTGACACAACCCTGTTATCGCTCTGAGGAGGCGCTGTCAACATCGCTTCTGTCAACTCTCTCCGTGCTTAACTTCACTTGGCTTTGACCGTCCGACTGTCACCGTCAAAAAATCCTTGCTTCGAGAAACTGCAATTATAAAAATCTTGCTGTATAATTTGAATCAGCTACTATTTCGAAGTTACAGGTAAAAATGAGATATTATTTTTTTTTGATTCGTTATTATTACTGCGTATTTTTAGGGTAGAGTTTTGGATGTCCCAACCTAACTTGTATTTGTATTTTGCTGGCACGTTGGCGTCCCTTTTCTTTTGTCCTCCAGAATGTCACATGGAGGAAAGGACATGTTCTTTATTATTTAGTGAGGCCTCGGAAGTAATTCGAGGTAGGTTCATTTTGTTTATTAGACCTTGTTTGATTTTAAACAAGAGTTTCGTATTTTTGGGGTCTTATGGACGGACTGTGTCCAAGGTTATGGTCCAAGGTTATGGTCCAAGGTTATGGTCCAGGTTACGGACATTATCCAAGGTCCTAGTAGTGTTCCAAGGTACGGGTAGTGTCCCCATATTGCCACAGTATGGATACAGCGTAAGCCCCATGCTGCTTCGCTCCCATTTCTAAGCCTAGTCATTAGCTACGGCTGTATTGATTCATGGTGTCCTCATTCTGGCCCCTTTTGTTGTTTTGGCCAACAGGATCGCCGACAGACAGTACAGAGATATGAGCCCACCTCACGCTGCTACTCTTTGAAACAAGATTGCCTCAAGAACAGCTAAGTGTAGATTTAGGTTCTGGTTTTCAGTCGATTTTCAGTCTTACCTTAACGTACATTTTAAATAATATCGTACAGACTATATTTAGTGGTTAGATTATTAAGAACATTTATGTCGATTTAGTTGTTACAATATGATTTAGATTTTAGGTTTCATTACATTATGCCTTGTAATAGTATTACTTTCTATAGATATTATTATTACGCTATATTAACAGATGAATAACCAGACATAGATTCTAGAATCTACAGGTTGCAACATATCAGATTTAACACCGCATAAAATTTAACAATTTAAATAAAGTAATGCTACCTTTCTTATATTTTCTATAACGTTACACGCATTGTATTTTTTCATAGTCTTTTCATAGAACACATTTAATATTATTTACATATATAGCTTTACTCGACATATAACCACTAAAATAATTATTAAAATTGTACAATGCTATTTACCATCAGGATACATCATGAATGAATATAGTCACTAGTTTTAAGTAATAAACAACTGTGTTTTCTTTTTCTGTTCATGCCTGGCGCCCAATATTTATAATTTCGAGTTATTATTGTTAATTAGACATCAAGTATCAGCTTCATTAAACATGTATCAGCTTCTCAAGAAAGGCCATCTCACACTTATCCACTCAGGAACGCGGAGCACGATCTTTATCTACCTACCCCACGCTCAGAGTTAGTTAAAAGTTCAATATTATACAACTCGAAAAAAATCACCTGCCATTTGAAATCAAATCCATAACATCATTTTTTTCATTTCGCAGAGCATTGAACTCTTATTTACTAGACAAGGCTTTCTACGCCGTAAATGAATTATATTTGAATTGAAAATCGAATTTGATCTTGAAAACACTGGGCTAATGTTTGCTATTGCTATATTTACTAATGACATCGAAATTAATTTATTTAGAGGTCATCGATATTTTGCTATAAACTGGCTAAATATTTGAATATTATTTTAATTTTTTTTTGTTCTTTGACATTGTAAACATTTATATATGTTTATTTTAACAATAAGACTGACAATATTATTTGTATAATGTTTTGTATTATCTTTTGTTTGTTTGTTTGTGTACCTTGTTTTTTTTTTTACTTTGTTTGTTAGTTTACCTTTGTCCACAAATTGAAAAATTTTTTGACAATAAAGGCATTTATTTATTTATTTATTTAGTTCTTTCATATTAGTTCATTCATGTTTATAAAAAACGCTACAATAACGTCTGTGTGGTTGAGTTATTAAGTGAGGTTCATTAGTTTCATTAGAGCGGTAAGTGTTCTCTTCAATATTTTAAATATTTTAAATAAAAGTCCTATCGTATTGTAGTTAATTTGTTGTGTTGTCAAATCAAATTCCGCTGTGTGAGATCTCTGGTGTGGGTATTCATTAAAACACTTTCCAAATATATTTGAGAAGACAAAAAGAAGAAAAACATAGTAACAAGTCGAGGCATGGAACTGATTATGGTAAATTCGAATGTTCTTTTAATATTTGGCATTTTAATTATTTTGATATACGTCTTTTAGAACCGGAACTTGATGAACCGGAACACTTGATGCGACTTGGAAAGCCTGTTGCAAATTCGTCTAGACGTTACCAAGTCTAGGGATACAGCTAATATAATGAAGAAATGGTCTTTTTATAGAAATCCTTCAGGATATCGACTAGTAAATTAATTTTCTTATTATAAGTTACCCTAAAATTAATAATAACATTACTATTCTCTTCTTCGATTCGATTTTTTTAATGTTTAATTTGTATATGCTATATCCAGTTTAATAAATTATTATTAGTTTATTGCACTTATTTTTTATTAATAATCCCTAATGGAAAAATTTACTGTGCTCGTAAGTAAGTCGGCACTATTAGTAATTTTGTTACCTTTGTAGCTAAGGGCTTGTTCAAATGGAAATCGATTT